AAAAAAAAAAAAAAAAAGAAATATTCTTCCTTGGGTTTTTTGTTGTTACTGTTTTTGTGAAGAAAATCTTATTTATTTTAGGTGCATAGTCCAAGTATCAGGATGCTATTTGTCTGTAAACAGTTTCCGAGTTCACACTAGAGATATAAAATTAATAATAACTATAATCACACTAGATACCTGTTTTGTTTCAGGCACTGTAGAATTTCACATGCAATTTCCTTTTTTTTTTAAATTTCAGAATATTGCAGGAATTACATATGTTTTGTTTACATAATTTGCTTTTGTACATTTTAAGTCAAATTTACAAGCGTGCCCTTCACCCAGAAAGTGCACATTTTACCAGTTAAGTGTAAATTTATTTTTGTTATTTGTTTTAACTTAAACAAAAGAAATTTATTTTCTCATAATTTTGAAAGCTAGAGGTCTGGGATCAAGGTATTAGCAAAGTTGATTTCTTCGGAGGTCTCTCTTCTTGATTTTCAGATGGCGGTCTTCCCCTATGTCTTCACATGGTCTTCCCTCTGTCTCTTTTTTTTTTCTTAACAATTTACAAATGTAATAAACCATTTTTGGCTTGCAAGCAGTACAAAAACAGGTGGTGGACCAATTCGGCCCACAGACTCTGGTTTGCTGTATCCGACAAACAGTTATAATTGGAAAAGAATTGGGGCAATTGTCATTTTTAATGTCAAAAACTTAAAACTTCTGCCAGGCGCAGTGGCTCACACCTGTAATCCCAGCACTGTGGGAGGCTGAGGAGGGAGAATTGCTTGAGCTCAGGAATTCGAGACTCGCCTGAGAGAGAGACCCTGACTCATGAAAAAAATGGAAAAACCTAGCCGGGCGCCTCAGGGAGCACCTGTAATCCCAGCAGCTTTCAGAGGCTGAGGTAGCGGGATGCCCACAAGCCAGAGTCTGAGGCTGCAGTGAGCTACCAAGCCACTGCACTCTGCTCAGGGGCATAGGGTGGGACTCTGTCTCAATAATAACAAAAAAACCTTAAAAAAGACTAAAATGGGCTTGGTGTGGTAATCCCAACAATAGTTTGGGAGCCCAAAGCAGGAGGATCACTTGAATTCAGAAGTTCGAGACTAGCCTGGCAACATAGCAAGACCTCGCCTCTACAAAAAATTTTAAAAATTAGCTGGGTGTAGTGGCGTGTGCATGTAGTCCCAGGTACTCAGGAGGCAGAGGCAAGAGGGTCACTTGAGCCCAGGAGTTTGAGACTGCAGTAAGCTAGCTATGATTACGCCACTATACTCTAGCCTAGTTGACAGAACAAGACTCTGTCTCTCAAAAAAAAAAAAGATAGGCTCGGCGCCTATAGCTCAACCGGCTAAGGCGCCAGCCACGTACACCTAAGGTGGCGGGTTCGAATCCCCAGCCTGGACCCGCCAAACAACAATGACGGCTGCAACCAAAAAATAGCCGGGCGTTGTGGCGGGCACCTGTGGTCCCAGCTACTTGGGAGGCGGAGGCAGGAGACTCGCTTGAGCCCAGGAGTTGGAGGTTGCTGTGAGCTGTAATGCCAGGGCACTCTACCCAGGGGGACAGCTTGAGGCTCTGTCTCAAAAAAAAAAAAAAAAAAAAAAAAAAAAAAGATAGTGGGCTTGGGGGGGTCACAGTGTATGGCACACCTCTGAGGGGTGGGACACAATTATAAGAGGGACTTTATCTAACAGATGCAATCAGTGTAACCTAATTTTTTCTTCCCTCAATAAATCCCAAACAAAAAAAAAAAAAGTAAAACATAAAACTATAAAAAATAAAATAAAAAAAAAAAACATAAGTGTGTTGGCTACACACTTCTTATTTTCCAGTTTTTATCTGGGCTTCTGAGTGACTTATAGTCAGCAATCAGGACAAGCAAGTATCTGCAAACCCCAGAGGGCAGGAACCCAGAGGCTCCAGGCCGAAGCTCATGGAAATTTCATCCTGATGATCTGATAACCTGTTTTTATTTTCCCGGCAGGCTTTTGGAAATGCCAAGACAGCCCACAACAACAACTCCAGCCGATTTGGGAAATTTATCCAAGTCAACTACCTGGAGAGTGGCATTGTGAGAGGGTGAGTTAACATCCCAGGCATCCCCCCACCCTTGTGCTGTTACTTCCTGACACACGTGGGAGCAAGCTGCAAAGTTCATGGCCATGCAGATATTTGTGCATCATGCAGGACAGCAAGCACTATTTTAAGTCTTTGAGGTGACAGTGGTTGAGGAAGAAATGTGGGTGGAGGTAAAGGTGCAGTGGCACTGCTAGAATAAGTCTAACCAACTGGGAGTACTAGTGTCGTATGGTTTGCCAGGGACAAGCAAGGACAGCCCAGTCATTTCCTGGTCTTGACTAGGTTTCTAATTTGGTGGGTTTGGGATGTCACAGGCAGAATGAATGTGGACTCTGGCATTTGCCAAACATGTGCTTCTTTAGCCAAGAAGAGATGTGATGCTGTGAGGCAAAGTGAGATGGTCATCTGAGGAGATACTGAAGGGTAGATGGGTGGGTGGATAGGTTAATGGATAGATAGATGAATGGATAGATGGGTTCATTGGTGCATAGGAAGATTCGTGAGTGAGTGGTTAAATAAATGGATAGATTTGTGTGAATGGCTGGATAAATTCATGAGTGAGGGAGTGGATGGTTGAATTGACGGATTTCATTGGTGGATAGGTAGATTCATGGGTAAGTGGTTAAATAAATGGGTAGATTTGTGGGTGGGTAGATGGATAGATGGATTCATGGATGGATGAATTCTTGCTGAATGGTTAGATTCATTAGTAGGGTAGAAGAATAAATGGGTAGATTTTTAGGTGGATGGATGGGTGCATGGATTGATTTGTGGGTAGATGAGTATGTGGATCAATGAATCCATTCACGGATGGTGGATGGATATATAGATAGTGTCTGGCAGGGTCTGGGCCTGGCTACTCAAGAGAGTCCTCCCACAGTTGCAGACTCTAGCGTTTCCTATGAGTGTGCTTATACAAGTATTTGTTCTTTTGTGTTTGGCTTGTTTCATTTAGCAGAACATCTGCAAGGTTTGTCTGTGTAGTAGCATGCATGTGTCAGGATTTCCTTCCTTTATAAGGCTGAATGATATTCCATTGTATGGTTCTGTCTCATTTTGTTTATCCATTTATTCACTGACAGACAGTTAGGCTGTTTTCACCTTTTGGCTATTGCAGATAGTGCTGCTGTGAACATAGGTGTGTAAATATCTCAAGACCCTGCTTTAATTCTTTGGGATACATACCCAGAGATGAACTTGCAGGATCATATGGTAATTCTAACTTTTATTTTTTTGAAGAATCTGCATACTGTTTTCCATAGCAGCCGTACTGTTTTATATTCTACCAACAAATGCACAAGGGTCTCCTCTTTTTTTTTTTTTAACTTTTTTTCCCATGAGTCCACTTTTTTTTTTCTTTTTTTTGAGACAGAATCTCACTGTCACCCTCTGTAGAGTGCCATAGCATCACAGCTCACAGCAACCTCAAACTCCTGGGCTTAAGGGATTCTCTTGCCTCAGCCTCCCAGTAGCTGGGACTACAGGTGACTGCCACAATGCCTGGCTATTTTTTGTTGCAGTTGTCGTTGTTTAGCTGGCCCAGGCCAGGTTCGAATCTACCAGCCTCAGTATACTGTGCTACAAGTGCCGAACCAGAGTTCACATTTTGCTTGCTTGTATCTGCCACATTGCAAACATTTTGACCTACAAGAAGTACCAAGAGTATCTTGTTGGGCAGACAACACTATAGGCACTGTTGCTATAGTTCTTGGGGCTCCTTTTTAATTAACTAATTTATTTATTATTAGCAAGAGGGTTTTTCTTTGTCTCCCAGACTAAAGTATAGTAGTGCAATTGTAGTTCACTCAACTTTGAAC